CAACTTTTGGCGCACGCTTCATGGCCACCTGTGCCACCATGGATCTCACTGCCATCTACCAGAGCCTTTTGTCACTGAACCCTGACCTATCATCCGACCACAGAACTGAGTCCTCTGGATTCTGGAGCCTCAACCCATCTGGAGTAACTTCCCACCTGCCTGGCCGCTCCACTAGCCTAGTGAAGGTTCGTCGCTGTGGCTTGGTGCCTGTACCCACTGGCTTTGCATCCCTTGTGCCTGGCCTGGGCCCTGAGCAGTCGCCCTCACCCACTTCACCTACTGCTGCCCCTACTACTTTCTCCCTGAGACTGAGCTCTGTTGAACCTTCTCAGAGAGTAGGCACTGCTGCTATGGGGTGAAGTGCCATTTTGCTCATGGTCTGGGTGAGCTGCCCTAGACCACTCACCATCCCAAGTAAAAGATGGAACTCGCCACAAATTCTACCTCCAGAGCCACTTCCCCTGCGGCTTAGAATGAGACTTCATTCACAACCCTAAAGAGGACCTGGCGGCCCCTGGCCATGCCCATGTGCTGTGCCAGAGCATCAGCTTCTCTGGCTTGCCCTCTAGCCGCTGAACCTCTCTACCACCACCAGGCCTGGCAGGCCCTTCTCTGTCCTCATGTTACTTCTCACCCTACAGGTCCTCACCACCATCTTGGGATCTTCCACTTGCACCTTCTGCCTACTCTGCTACCCCTAGGACCCCTGTGGCTTAAAGGGACCCTACCCCAGCCTGTTGCCCCTGTAACTGAAGGGTCACTCCAGGCAGCATCTAGGGGCCCTTGGGTGCACATTTCTGCTTATTACCTGAGATCTGACCTGATGACTATGCCAGCAGCAGCAACAGCCTGGGGGATCTGACTCACCTGTCTTTGAGGCTGGGGTTTGGGGGCCACCTCAGCCACCTGCAGCCCCATGACTCCCTATCTTCAATCATACCTCTGTTTTTGAGTGAAAAGTACCTACATAGTATGCATCCCCTGGATCTTAAGGGGAGACACTTAGGCTGTGGGAACCTGGGGGACTACTAATTTAATCAAATGTCCCTCCCTCCACATTCCCTAATGCATTAATCCACTCCCCTGATGCCACACTGGGGCAGGTCCCCAGTGTGCAATCTCAGTGTTCATGGTGTTGGGGAACAGTGTTTTCTGGGGTATTTAAAAAGATGCAGCATATTTGAGGGAACTGGCAAGCACTCTCCCCTGCCCAGTTCTGTCTCCTGGAAGCCTTTGTGCTGGGAGTAGTAGGCCCCCATGGCCCCCTCCTATTTTTTTCCTAGAATCAAGGTTCAAGTGTTTGGTGACTGGAGCCTTCCTGAGGGAGAATTCTGGTGCTCAAATTTCCCTCCACAAGTAAGTAGCCAAAGTCTTCGCCAAATCCCTCCTCCCAAACCTGTGGGCCCTATATTTATGATGACTTTATGTATTCTAATAAGATTTTATAGTTTTTACATATATTGAGTCATCTGCTTCCTTTGTGTTTTTCTTCTTCTTTTTTGTAATATTGGAAATTATGGTTTAATTATTATAAGTATTCTATAATAATATATTAAGTAAGACATTGTTATCTTAAAAGTCTGTTTTGTGTTTTTTTAACTTTTTAAATACAAGGAATCTGCATGTAAATGAAAAAACTTAAAAAGGAGAAATCATTAATAATCTCCATACCCAAATGTTAACTTATTTAATAACTTGATGTATTTCCTCCCTGACTTTTACTCTATGTCTATCTTTATATACATATACACATACAATATAGTGTGTGTATATATATGTGTGTATATATACATATATATATATATACATATATAAATGTATATATATGCATATATATACATACATACCCTGTATTGAATGTGTATATATACATACATACACACACACACACACACATATATATATATGGATATGTATGGTATACATCCACATTATAAAATTTCTGTCACCCAGAATCACAATATAACGGTGCATATCCTTCTATGTTTTCACAATATAAACCATATAATTTTATAATCTCCTTTTTCACCTAGTTTACCATGTAATTTTTTTGTTGTTGTTTGTTTGTTTGAGACAAGTTCTTGCTATATTGTCCAGTTGGCCTTGAAATCCTAAGCTAAAGAATCCTCCTGCCTCAGCCTACTGAGTAGTTGGAACTATATAGGTATGTGACACCATGCCCAGGGACATACCAAAATTTAATGGATCCTCTGTCATTGAATATTCAATTTAATTTTATTTTTTCACTACTTTAAATACTACTTCTGCTACAGAAGATACTCTGAAAAGTAAAATCGTTTACGTTCCCACTGTGAAATAATTATTCTTAAAAGATAGATATTAAAGTATAAGCACTGTTCCTAAGAAAAGTGTGTTAAAGACTACTGTATGCCTTTTCTGTAAGGCATATGCATTTCTGTACTGAAGAAGTTGATGAGTAAATAATATATACAAGGTCCTTTGTTTTAGCTCCTTTGTTTCAGGGATTTAGATGACTCATTTTCTCCTATCCTAGTTAAGGAAGTACTTTTTTATCTGTTTAAGAAATAACCTAGGATTTTGCCCCACATTTGATATTTTATGCTTTATAAAGTTCTTTTAACAATGTCATGCTCTACCCCACAATGAGCATGTGTTAACATTATAGTTGAGTGCTTATTTGTCACCTCAGCATCTTCTCCACAAAATGTTTGGTAATATGAAACATGATTTTTCTAATAATTTCTAACATGGGTTTCTTAGCTCTAAACTCGCAGGTTTTCCTCAACATAAGTACTTTGATAGGCAATGACATTTAATTCTTTCTGAAATCTTTTCCACATCAGTACTCTAAATTTCACCTCTTATGAATTCATTGATGAAGAATAGTGAAAATTGGTCACATTTGTTGTACACTTCCAGAATTATATTTTGTTCATTTTGTTAATTTAAATGAATGTTAAACAATATGTGAAGAGTTTCTGACATTCTTAAAATGAGGTGTTTCTACTATAGAACCCTAAAGAAAGAAATCAAAGAAGACCTTAGAAGATGGAAAGATCTACCTTGCTCTTGGATAGACAGAATTAATATTATCAAAATGACCATACTACCAAAAGCACTATACAGATTTAATGCAATTCTGATCAAAATCCCTTTGGCATTCCTCATAGAAAGAGAAAAAGCAATCGTGAAATTCATCTGGAAAAATAAGAGACCCAGAATAGCTAAAGCAATCCTTAGTGGGAAGAGTGAAGCAGGTGGCATCACTATACCAGATCTTAAACTATATTACAGAGCAGTACTAACAAAAACAGCATGGTATTAGCCTGAAAACAGAGTGGTAGACCAATGGTACAGAATAGAGGACACAGAGACTAACCCACAAAATTACAATTATCTTATATTAGACAAAGGTGCCGAAAACATGCATTGGAGAAAAGACAGCCTCTTCAACAAATGGTGCTGGGAAAACTGGAAATCCATATGCAACAAAATGAAATTAAACCCCTATCTCTCACCATGCACAAAACTTAACTCAAAATGGATCCAGGACCTAGGAATTAAACCAGAGGCTCTGCATCTAATAGAAGAAAAAGTAGGCCCTAATTATGTGGGATTAGTCTCCAATTTCCTTAATAAGACTCCTATAGTGCAAGAATTAAAACCAAGAATCAATAAATGGGATGGAATCAAACTAAAAAGTTTCTTCTCAGCAAAAGAAACAATCTTTGAGGTGAACAGACAGCCTACATCCTTAGAGCAAAGTTTTACCCCTCACACATCAGATAGAGCACTACTCTCTAGGGTATATAAAGAACTCAAAAATCTAAGCACCAAAAAAAAAAAATAACCCAATCAACAATTGGGCCAAGGACCTGAAAAGACACTTCTCAGAAGAGGATACACAATCAGTCAACAAATATATGAAAAATGTTCATCATCAGCAATTAGAGAAATGCAAATCAAAACTACTCTAGGATATCATCTCACTCCAGTCAGAATGGCAGCTATTATGAAGACAAACAACAAAAAGTGTTGGCAAGGATGTGGGGAAAAAGGTACACTCATATACTGCTGGTGGGACTGCAAATTGGTGCAGCCAATATGGAAAGTAGTATGGAGATTCCTTGGAAAACTGGGAATGGAACCACCATTTGACCCAATTATCCCTCTCCTCGGTTTATACCCAAAAGTCTTAAAAACAGCATACTACAGGGACACAGCCACATCAATGTTTATAGCAGCACAGTTCACAATAGCTAAACTGTGGAGCCAACCTAGATGCCCTTCAGTGGATGAATGGATTAAAAAATGTGCATATATACACAATGGAATTTTATTCAGCAATAAAAGAGAATAAAATCATGGCACTTGCAGGTAAATGGATGGCGTTGGAGAACATAATGCTAAGTGAAGTTAGCCCAATCCCAAGAAAACAAATGTTTTCTCTGATATAAGGAGGCTGACTCATAGTGGGGTAGGGAGAAGGAGCATAGGAGGAATAGATGAATTCTACATAGGGCAGAGGGGTGGGAGGGAAAGGGAGGAGGCAGAGGATTAGCGAGGATGGTGGAATGTGATAGACATCATCATCCAAAGTACATGTATGAAGACATGAATTGGTGTCAACATACTTTATATACAGAAATATGAAAAAATTGTGCTGTATACATGTAATAAGAATTGTAATACATTCCGCTGTCATTTATTTTTTTAAAAAAAATTAATAATAAATAAAAATATGAGTTGTTTCTGAGCTATATGCCCAGCCCTCATTCTTTTTTTAATGTAGTTAGCTTTAAATTTTTTTTTAGTTGTAGATGGACACAATGCCTTTATTTTATTCATTTATTTTATGTGGTGCTGAGGATCAAACCTAGTGCCTCACATGTGCTAGGCAAGTGCTCTGCCATTGAGCTACAACCCCAGCCCCCTAACGTTCATTCTTAATGATTCCCCAGGATGAATTATTTGATGTACAGCATGAGTCACAACTACTAGTGAAATTATCTAACTTTTCAAGAATATTTGTACATTCTCTCTCCTGTGTGACTTACCTGATGTTTATTCAGGGTTGACTTCCTACTGAAGGCTTTCCCACAGTCTCTGTATTCAAAAGGTTTCTCACCCATGTGAGTTCTGTGATAGGCAAGGAGAATTGATTTCCACATGGAAGGCTTTCTCACATTCCCTACATTTGTAGGGTTTTCCTCCTGTATAAATCTCCTGACATCTAATGACAGTCGACTTCCTACTGATGTCTTTCCCAAAGTCACTGCATTCATAGAGTCTCTCTCCTATATGAATTCTCTGTTGTTTAATCAGTGGTGACTTCTCACAGAATATTCCCACATTCATTGCATTTATAGGGTTTCTCTCCTGTATGAATTCTCTAATAGACAATAGGGTTGCCTCTCACTGAAAGCTTTCCCACATCTTCTTCATTTGTAGGGTTTCCCTCCTGTATGATTTCAATGATGGCCAAACAGATGTGATTTTGCACTAACAGTCTTCCTATATGTGCTGCATTGATAGGGTTTTTCTTTTGTGTGAATTTTCTGATGAACAGAGAGGTGTGACTTTCTCTTGAAGTTTTTCCCACATCTACTGCACTCACAAGGTTTCTCTTTTCTGTTAGTTTTCTGATGTTTAATGGTGATGAGCTTCTCATCAAAGGTTTTCCTATACTTACTGCACTTAGGTTTCTCATCTGTGTGAGACATTTGATGTATAATGCTTGACTTAGCATGCTTGTCTAATATGTGTTCTTTCATGTCTAATAAGATGATAAGAACTCTTAAAGGCTTCTGCACATTCACCATATACAAATGGTCTCTTTCCCATGTGAGTTTGCTCATGTTTAATAAAAGTTGCCTTCTGGATAAAGGCTTTCCCACATCCACTGCATTCATAGGGTTTTTCTCCTGAATGAGTTCTCGGGTGTGCTGTGAGGGCTATCTTCTGACTGAAGGCTTTTGCAAACTCAAAGCATTCATAAAGTTTCTCTCCAGTGTGAATTCTTTTTTAAAAAAATTTTCTTAGTTATACATGGACACAATGTCTTTATTTTATTTATTTATTTTTATGTGGTACTGAGGATCAAACCCGGTGCCTCACAGGTGCAAGGCAAGTGCTCTGCCACTGAGCCACAATCCCAACCCCTCCAGTGTGAATTCTTTGATGGAAAATAAGGTTGGTTTTTCTGGATAAACACTCTACTATATTCAGTACATTCATAGAATTTCTCCCCAGTTTGAATTCTCTGACTTTTATTTTATTGCTTCTGGTGGGGGGCTTTTCCTTGTTGATTGGGTTCAACAGATTTGTCTGCAGGTTAGGATTTATCAAGATTAGAAGGGAGACATAATTTCCAATTTACCTTACATCTGTAATCTATCTTTCTTACAAAGCTTCTATTTTTAAATTTATTTTTTATTTGTTCTTTTTAGATATGCTTGACAGTAGCGTATATTTTAACATATTATACACAATTGGAGTATATCTTATTCTAATAAGGATCCCAGTTTTGTGGTTGTACATGATATGGAATTACACTGGTGGTGTATTTATATATGAACATAGGAAAGCTATGTCAGATTCATTTCACTGTCTCTCCTATTCCCATTTACCTCCCTTCCCTTCATTCCCCTTTTCTAATCCAATGAACTTCTACTCTTCCCCTCCCTCCTTTTTGTGTGTTAGCATCAGAGAGAACATTTGACTAAGACCATTTATATTATTTTTTTTTGTGGTACTGGGGATTGAACCCAGGGCCTTGTGCATGTGAGGCAAGCACTCTACGAACTGAGCTATATATAGGGCTGGGGATCCAGCCCTATATTACGTTTTAAACATCTTCTCCATGAATATTTAGGGTATCTTTGTGTTATAGAAACAAAGAATTTGCTTAGATAAATGATTTTTCTCTATGTTCTGCATTCTTGAACATTTTCATCTTTCAGTGTTTCCTGGTCTATGAATGCAGCTTGCCACAGAGGTCTGTATTGACTTTCCTTGTAGTTATCTATCTGCTCATCAACTTCCCAGAATTCTAGGAGAAAAATGCGATGAATCATTAAAATTTGCTACAATATATGGGATAACATGGATCTCTAAATGCCCTATGGTAAATTCTTATCAATATTATGATCATATGGATGGATCCTCCCCATGCCCACCACCCCATGTTTCCAATTGCAATTGTAAAGAATGCTACCATGAATTCTAAAAAATAATGTAATATGCAGCCAAGTACAAAGCCAAAAAAATGTATTATGTGTCAAAAATGAAGTGGTGAGAGTGATGGGAATTTAGCTTAATGGTAGAGCACTTGGCTAGCATACAGAAGGTCCTGGGTACTATCCTTACCACCCATAAAAAATTGAAGTGAGAATGTACAATGATGGGGTAAACTGAAAGTGAAGCTTGGAGCCTTGCATAGGAATCCAGACCTCAGGGCACAAGTGTTCAAGAAAGGAGAACCTATTTTTTGCTTCAAGCTGGCATAACAAGGGGCCTGCATGTTTATTAAATACAAACTAGAAACACTCCTTGCTGGCCAAAGAAATTGTTAAGAATGGTGTTAGATAAAAGAAATCAGAAGCCTAGTTCTGTGATTCAATCTGCATGATTACAAGTGTAGTACAAGAGCCCATAACGAAAAATTAACATAAAATTGGTCTTGTTATTAGTAGATTCACAGCAATGGAAAAATTTCCAAAAAATATTTCCCATGTTTTTATAGCTTAAGGCTCACAGAACATCTATGGAAACCAAATCAAACATGTAAAAATAATTTAGACCTTACAAGGAAATGAATCATCAATAAAGAGAATCAACAGATACATTAAAAGATTCTCCCATTTCTAGAACTGTAGATAATGTAACAATCTAGATTTTAAAGTAAATATATTCCAGATATCACCAGGTGTGGTAATGCATACCTCTAATCCCAGCAACCTAGGATGCTGAACCGGGAGGATTGCAAATTTGAGGCCAACCTCACCCAACTTAGCGAGACCATGTCTCCAAAATAAAATAAATAAATAAATAAATAAACTAGGATTGCAACTCAGTGATAAAGCTCCCCTGGCTTCAATCCCTAGAAGCCCCCCAAAATAGATAAAAATAAATTAAAATATTCTAAATATACAAAGAGTTAAGAACTAGACTGTGGGGGAAAACTTGGATACAAGCTAGGATACAAATATGAATATAAATTTTTTAAAAACTCTAAATAGAGAGGTTGAACAGTACACTATAAAGATAAATTGAATAAGTTAAATGATGGATTGTGGGAAACCACCCAGGATATAGCATAAAAGCTTAATGAAATGGAAACATAAGGGAAATAAAAATAATTAGAAGCTCCAACATAAGCTTATTAAGAGATCCAAGTGGAAAGGAAAAGGAAAAAAAAAAAAGGGAGTGGGGCTGTAGGCCAAGAAAAAGATTAATATAGCAGCCCTGATACTGTTCTCCTTACAAAGGCCAGCCTACAAGTTGGCCCTGGGCTGACATCTGGGAATTTGGATTTCAGGAATGTTCTCATAATTTCCTGACTGGTAAGCGTGGTTTTGTGTGCCTCCACTGTTTATACAAACACTGTGTTTTATGCTGAACACCTGTTTTCCTTTTGGGAGTCTGGAATTTTGGTATATGCTAAGCAGTTTGTCTGTATGACAGCCTCCAATAAAAACCAAAGTTTCTGAGTCTCTAATGGTCTCTCCTGGGCATAATAAACATCACACCTATGTTGCTGCAATTTTGATGCTGGGTGAAGAGTGCTCTGTAAGCCCCCTCATGGGAGGGTGACAGCATAAGGGAGCCTGCAAATGGATTCTTCCAGACTCTGCCTGTGCTGTTCCCCTTATAATGTGGTTGTATATTCTTGGCATCACTACAATAAACTTATCTGTGAATACAACTATATGCTGTGTCCCATAATTCTTTCTAGAAAATCTCAGAATATGGGAGTAGTCTTGGGGATCGCTGACCCAGGATATATTTGAAGAGGCAATGACATAGTTTTCTAGAGTGAAAGGAAGGCATGAATCTTACACCCACAGTCCTCAGTGTGGCAAATAAAAGTAAATCCTCACTCACACAAAGTTGAGTGCAACCACAAGACTTAAAAATCAGAAAGAAAAATTTAAAAGCTTCCATGGAGAAAAATTTAAATCCCTTATAAACAATTATATCAATGTCAGATATTTAAAAATATATATTTTTAGTTGTAGATGGACACAATAACTTTTATTTTGCTTATTTATTTTATGTGGTACTGAGGATTGAACTCAGTGCCTCACACATGCTAGGTGATTGCTTTACCACTGAGCTCCAGCCCCAGCCCATTTTTGTCAGTCTTTTTGGGAAAAAATAAAAAGAAGCCAGAAGTTTAATGAATAATATCTTCAAAGTTCTGACAGAAGCTGTCATCTTAGAACCCTGTACCCAGATAAATTATTGTAAAGAAAGATGACAAAACCAAGACATTTTTGGACAATAAAGCAGATAATTTATCATAAATAAAGCCTGGCTAAAGATAATGCTTAGTACTTGAATCACTCAGAAGGATAATGACTCAAGGGGCAAGAGGCAGAGGGTAAAGAAAATCCATCTAAGGCAAGAAAAAAGGTCATGAAAAAGCTGGCTATATAAATAATACAATAAAATATGAAAATAGTAACATCAGAGTAAATGTGTGTGTGTGTGTGTGTACTCAACTAAAAAGTACAACCTTACTTAAGGTTATATATACAAAAAGCAAACTAAAACTTTGATAAATTTGATTACATTGCAATTAAGACTTATTTCAAAACAACTCCATAAACGGCTTAGACTAAGAAAAGGCTGTTGAGGGGCTGGGGTTGTAGCTCAGTGGTAGAGCACTTGCCTAGCATGTGTGAGGCCCTGGGTTCCATCCCCAGCACCACATAAAACTAAATAAGCAAAATAAAGGTATTGTGTCCATCTACAACTAAAAATATATTTTTAAATAGGCTATTGACTATACGCAAAATTGAAGTCTACAATATACAAAGAATATATACAAAGCAAAAAGAAAAGATAAACAGCTCAACAAAAACATAGACAAAGGATATAAACAGGCAGGCCTTAGAAGAGGAAATCTAACTAGTTAATAACATATGAAATGTTAGATTTCCTAGTAATCAAGGAAATAAAAATTATAAGAAGATACCAATTTATACTAACTAAAGGACCAAAATTTAAAGCATCTACAATTCTCTTCTGTTTCCTGCAGTAAGTTCTAGTTCTATCATGCAGCCCTGGCCTAAATCACATGCTTTCTGTGCCATTTGTTTTGCCACCTAAGGCTACAGAGCTTTGCATTTTAACATTGATGCTTCCTATTCAAAAGCTGAAGTTTTAGATTTTTCAGGAAGCTAAATCTGCCCACCAGGCTACAATCCATGCTCTAAGGGAGTTGATTTCATATGATGGTAAAATCTACTCTTTTTGCTTCAAAGGCTGGCAATAAATGATAAGTACTTTTCCAGTCCAGAGGCCTTTTGTAGGATTTAAAAGGAGTAGATAAAAACTGCTTAATGTCCTTCAGCTGAAATATACCCCTTAAAAGTATGAGTGTTAAACCAGGCATGGTGGTACATGCTCATAATCCCAGCAGCTCAGGAAGCTGAGGCAGGAGGATCACAAGTCCAAAACCAGCCTCAGCAATGTAGTGAGGCCCTAAGCATCTTAGTGAGCCCCTGTCTCCAAATAAAATGTAAAAAGGTATGGGGATGTGGCTCACTGGTTAAGCAGCCCCTAGGTTCAATACATGGTACAAAAAAAGAAAAGTATGTGTATTAAGTAAGGTTGAATAATCTAAGGAAAAAATTTCTTTGAACAATCATTGCAAAGCTGTGATATTTTTCTCTCCTAAAATAGGCGAAATAAATATATGTTCATCCCACCCTAGTCTAGTAAGAAGGACTTCAGGGAGATTACTTACTTGACATATGTCCATTAGCATTTAAGGGACACAGAGCACTTGGCACCTAACTTCCACCTACAAAAATTGTACAGTTGACAGATTGTGGCATCATATGGCAGCAACGAGGTTGAAGGGAGGTGAATTGCAGGTCTCACTACCACCACAGAACACACACACACACACACACACACACACACACACACACACACACACACACTCATTCTACAAGCCAGATATGCACCCTGGATATGAACAGGGCTGGGTTACATTGGAAAGAGGGCTTTCTGGTAGGATTGAGGTGACTTCAGTAGAATGATATTGAAGGTCACTCATGGAACCAGAGAATATATTAAATAACTGGTTGGAAAAGAGGACCTGCCTAATGGAGGAACACTGGGACATTCCAAGGACAGCATAAAAGTGCCAAGGACAGGCAGACTCAGTCTTTGGAATCTGCCACATGCAGAGAGTACCAGTATCAGATTACATCTATATGGATAGTTCAGACTTTTTTTTTACTCTTTATAGTCTCCCTTCTTTCTTACCCTGCTTCACTCAAAGAGCCAGAGATGGTCTAGTAGTTGAATAGGAGAGTGGGAGGTTAGGAAAAGGGATAACTGGAAGAATAAAGAAAGAAAAGACTAATCAGGTGTGGGGTACACACCTGTAAATCCCAGTGACTCAGGAGGCTGAGGCAGGAGGATCACAAGTTCAAAGCCAGCCTCAGCAACTTAGTGAGGTTCTAAGCAACTTAGGAGACCCTGTCTAAAAATAAAAAATAAAAGGGCTAGGAATGTGGCTCAGTGGTTAAACACCCATCATTCAATCACTGGTGCCAAAAAAGAAAAGACAAAACTGAGTGTGCCCATGTTGCCAGTAAAAGGCAGAACTAAGGTGTGGGGAGAGAAAAGTTCCATTTAAATGAAGTTCATAGTTTTAATGATTACCTAGGTTTCATTTTAAAATTTTAACTGATACTTAAAAACATAAAATACTACATATTAATGTGATACCATATGATGTTTCAATACACGCACACATTGTATAATGTTTATATCAGTTTAAACATATCTGTCTTCTCAAATATAGCTTTCATTTTAATGCTCAGAAATTGAAAACAGAATAAGAGAACATTATGAACAACTTCATGCCAATAAATTTGACAGCTTAGATAAAACAGATTCCTTGAAAGACAAAATTACTGAAGCTCATCTGGAGAAATAAATCATTTGAATAACCCAACATCTATTAAATGAATTGAAATTTTAGTTAAAGACCTTCCCACAGAGAAAACTCCAAGCCCAGAAGAATTCACTTGAGAATCCATCAAACACTTAAAGAAGAATTAATGCCAATATTACACAAATTCTTTCAAAGAATTGAAGGGAGGTGGGAATACTTCCCAACTCCTTGTATGATTTCATTATCTTTATTGTGGTAATGAAATTATAGATATAAAATTCAAAAGTTATCAAAATATTCACTTTAAAAATGTGTAATCTCCTGTACGCCAATTCACCCGAAATAACTGGTTTGAAACGGCTAAATCAGTACTAAGGTAGTAACGACATTGACAATGCTATATTAGAAAAGAGAGATTTCTTTTCACCGTTTATTACTTTATACCCACTAAACTAGCAAAAAATTAAAACCTGATGATAGTGTGCTTTGGCAGAGATATAAAATAGTAGGAAATCTAATACTGTACTGATAGGGATGTAAGTGAAAGAACTACTATACTCATTACATAGTAAACATTAAAATGAAAACAACTGCTACATCAACAGTTTTAAACCCAGGTATATAGTCGAAACTCTTACATAAACACACCAAGGACTGTACAAAAAAGCTCAAGCACCATTGTTTGCGATGACAAAAAGGTGTAAATAGCTCAAATGTCAAACAACAGAATAGATAAATGGAGCACATTCATACAATAGAATAGAGCAAATCAAAGGAACAAACCAGTTGTCTGTATCAATATGCCAAATAGATGAATTCTAAAAAGGGAAGAGGGGTGGGAAGGAAAGGGAGGGGCAGGAGCTTAGCAATGATAGTAGAATATGATGGACATCATTATCCAAAGTACATGTATGAAGACACGAATTGGTGTCAACATACTTTATATACAACCAGAGATATAAAAAATTGTGTTGTATATGTGTAATAAGAATTGTAATGCATTCTGCTGTCATTTATTTATTTATTTAAATTTTAAATTTTTATTTTTTTAGTCATACATGACAGCAAAATGTATTTTGACATATAATACATACATGGAATGTACATACATCAATCATATTGTCTATTCTATTCTGTTGCCCTTCCTATCCTCCCTACTCCTCCCCTCCTCTCCCATCCTTAGAAAAGAGAGATTTCAAATCAATGAATTAAGCTTCTACCTTCTGAAATTAAGAGAAAATTAAATTTAAACTAGCAGAAAAAGAGAATCAATAAAGGTTGAGATCAATAAAATCAAGAATGAATGAAACTGAGGGTCCCATTTCTGGCCACAAAAGAGTAAGGGAGAGTATTATGGCCTCTCCTACTGATTACTGCACCCAAAAATTCCAGACAAAATACATAAAGCAACTACCTGAGGCCTCTGACAAGCAAACAGAATTAGACAGACTATGAAAGGGAATCAAAAAGTAGGGATGCCAACTGGGTGCAGTGGCCCACGTCTGTATCCCCAGTGGCTCACGTCTGTATCCCCAGTGGCTCAGGAAGCTGAGGCAGGAGAATCATGAGTTCAAAGCCAGCCTCAGCACCTTAGCAAGGCCCTAAGCAACTTGGAAAGACCCTGTCTCTAAATAAAGTGTGAAAAAGGGCTGGGGATGTGGCTCAAGTGATAGTGCACTTGCCTGACATACGTGAAGCACTGGGTGTGATCCTCAGCATCACAGAAAAACAAAGATATTGTGTCCACCTAAAGCTAAAAAATAAATATAAAAAAAGACCCTGTCTCTAAATAAAAAATAAAAATGGGCTGGAGGATTTGCAGGTAAATGGATGGCGTTGGAGAAGATAATGCTAAGTGAAGTCAGCCAATCCCCCCCCCCAAAACAAATGCTGAATGTTTTCTCTGATATAAGGGGAGTGACTCATAGTGGGGTAGGGAGGGAGAGCATGAGGGGATTAGATTAATTCTAGATAGGGAAGAGGGGTGGGAGGGAAAGGGAGGAGGCAGGGGATTAGCAAGGATGGTGGAATGTGATAGACATCATCATCCAAAGAACATGTATGAAGACTCGAATTGTGTGTAAACATGATTTATATAGAGAGATATAAAAAATTATGGTATATATGTGTAATAAGAATTATAATGCGAAAAAAACCAAAGTACATGTATAATGACCTAAATTGACGTGTAATACGGATTGTAAGGCATTCCACTGTCATGTATTAAAAAATAATAATAATAAAATCATTTCAAAAAATGGGCTGGGGGGCTGGGGTTGTGGCTCAGTGGTAGAGTGCTTGCCTAACACATGTGGGGCCCTGGATTCGATCCTCAGCACCCCATAAAAATAAATAAATAAAATGAAAGTATCGTGTCCAACTACAACTAAAAAATAAATACTAAAAAAAATGGGGTTGCCGCTTTAGAAGCCTAAGGGGTTGATGTGAGAGAGAACTGGTTTTAAGGCTTGGGGCTTTGTGAACAGAAAGGCGGAGGTAGGAGGCGAAGGAAGAGGCTATAGGGCTGGGAAAGGACTGAAACACCACAGAGACAGGAACTGAGGGGCGCGCCAGTTGGCTGCCCAAGGCTACAGTAGGTGGGGGCAGCTCCGCTGACTAGGCCGCGGCGGCCCTGGCCATCGACTTCCGGAAATTCCAGAAGCGGTTTCCGCCACAGCGAAGTGGTGGCGTTTCTCAACGAAGAGGTGCTCAGTAATGGTGGTAACCCAGACTTCTACCTGACCTTCCCTTCACGGCCCTGGAATGAGGTGGAAGACAACCTGCAGTCCTTCATGGCCGACCCTCAGGCGCCGCGCGCCATTAACAGGGCGTGTGCCTGGAGCTCCAGGGCCCTCGGGGTGCGAGTGGCCACGCACGAGGCAGCGGGAGCTGCAGGCGCGTCGGGTCCGGCGGCTGAGGGGGCAGGTGGAGGAGTGTGAAGGAGCCGCCTGGGCTCTGGCCTCGGAACTGCAGCGGCTGCGTGAGGAGAGGGACGATGTGGTTTCTCAGTTGCAGAGCGCCAGAGATGACCTGAAGCAAGCGCTGGGGGAGCGCGATGCCCTGCGTGAGAGGCTGATCCAGTTGGAGCTGTCCCAGGAAGTTGCTCCTGAGTCTCCAGATGAGCCGCACAGGATTGGGGCATGGCCTGTGGATGCAGGGGGACAGAGAGAGGCGCTTGCCACAGGGTCAAAGGGTACGTAGGATGTGGAGTCTGAGGCCCAGATGGCGTCTCCAACAGCTCCAGGAAATTTGGGTGAAACTGAAGAAGCTCGGGGCCCCAGTGTGTGACTCCTCATGATATACACTTCTGGCTGTCAGCAGCCGTCACCTAAGACCTCAACTGGCTGGAGCTAAAAAGAGAACGAAGGTATCAGGGAGAAGGAGACATTCTGGCACACATTTTAGAACAAGACAGAGCAGACCAATTTTGTTAGAACTCAATCCTTGTGTTGGAGAAAAGGGATTGACATTGCAGAGTACAAAAGGGTTGAGAGAAGAATGGTAATCTTAGAGATTGTAGCAAATTTGTTTAATTTCATTCATTTGTTTAATAAACAAAAAGTTACTGATGGCCTAGTATGTGTTAGAAACTATAACTCTGTTAATATCTAGTGTACACATTATAATCAGTTGGGTGAGATTGGTTAGATGACAAGAGAGAGCCTAATTTGAGATATGTGGAGCGGGGTGTCTCCTTTGTCTTGCATGAAATGTGACCTTTGGCTAAACCCAGTTGAAATAACATCAATGCCTGAGGTTGTGGCTCAGCAGTAGAGCACTTGCCTAGCACGTGGGACACCCTGGGTTGGATCCTCAACACCATATAAAAATAAATAAACAAAATAAAGATTTAAAAAAGAAAAAAATAGCATCAAGATCCAATTTTGGATTTAAAAAAAGATTCCACGTTTTTGGTTCTGGGGAGCAATGTCAAAGACGCTTTCATGAAAGGGCTTGAGTGACCAATTGCTTGTCACATTAATCCCAAAGAAGATGAATGAGCAGTCGCAAAAAATCAGGAAAGTATCCTGGCAAAAGGACAGGCAGGGCTTTTCTTACCCTCTGCTGATTCCCTTTCTTGAGACACATCTAGTTTTCCTGGCTACCCTGCAGCCTGCCTGAAAGATCACCGGGCTGTCTTGTAAAAAGACAGGGTTGGGGGAGGTATTTTCTACATACTCTAGTCCTCAGCCTCCAGCTGTCCCCATCCCTGGTTCCTTTCCAATGAACAGTGGATGAAGAACAAAATGCATTCCAAAGACAGACTTCAGGGCTGCTGTACTATGTATGTATGGTGCTTCTCTTGGAAGGACTAATTGGGCTATAAATAGAACTGGAGGAGGCAAGAAATCTCCAGAATGCCCTTGGGCCCCTTGCCTTCCACTGAGTATGTTATCTGCAGATTTTTTGCTTCACCAAGACAGCTGCAAAGCAAGGAGGAGCCAAGGTAGAGCCCAGGGAGTGGGAGGTGCCATTCTGAACAGGTTTCCCAGAGTTCCCCTGGAGATCCAGCACAGCTCACCAAGATCAACCATTTTGCGGAGGTTTTCTGATCCTAACTAGTTATAAAGAGTTTATACTTATAAAAAAACAAATGGACTGGTGGTGTGGCTCAGTACTTAAGTGCCCCTGGGTTTAATTCCTGGTACCAAATAAATAAATTAAGTAAACATGCCACCCAGTATACCAGTGGGATCCCCTTTTATCCTTTTTCTTTTCTCTTAAGACTTTGGCCCAAAAGTACCAGTGGAATATGAACACTTCTAAGTGCTAAGCTAATGCAGGGGCTGTGTGTACAAGAGAAAGCAGAAGTGCATACTGAATTTTGAAAACTGAACTAATATTTAAACCACAGCTCAAGTCTGAGACTAACATCTGAGTGAAAAATGTATGAGACAAACCTGAAGCAGTACAGAAAAGGGTTCAAAAACCTCATAGACACAGTCACCACTCAAGTCTCAAACTAATCCCTGAGTGGAATCTGTACAAGTCAGAACCAAAGGAGCATAGAAAACTGAACTTATTAGAACCAACACCCAGAGAAGGCAAGACAGAACTAGTGGGCTCAACCCAACCCATTTATTAACTGATAAACAAAGATTAAAAGCAACAACATTATTACCACTAGGCAGAATAGAATCCAAAATTATTCAACATGACAAATAACCAGCAAAATGTGATCAATTTTCAAAGGAAAAAGATAATCAGCAGATGCCTATGTCAAAATCATACACAAACCATGAGACTGATGAAAACAACAGATGATTATGACACATAAACATAGAAGCAATAATATTCAACAGAAAATGAGTGAAAGAACTAGCAATATATAAGAGGGATAATAGGTCATGATCAAGCAGAATTTTTATTGGGGATGAAAGCCTGGTTCAATATTTGCAAATAAATGTAATCCACTATATTTTCAAGCATGATCATTCTGACTGATGTAGAAAAAGCATCTGCAACCTTCAACATCTGTTCATGATAAAAACTCAGAAAAATTATACTTAATAGTGAGAAAGTAAATGGTTTTGCTCTAAGATCAGGAATATGGCTAAGATGTCATTATGTTTATTCCTATTCAACATTGTACTGAAGATCCTAGCACTATAAAAAGCAAAAAAAAAAAAAGGAAGTAAAAGAGATTTAGATTGAAAAGAAAGAAAACTGTCTTTGTTTACAACTACATGATTATTTACATAGAGAATGCCAAATGATCTACAAAAAATCTACAAGTATTATACAATGACTGTGCTTAGGAATGTCCCATGATACAGGGTCAATTTTTTCTGTCAATTACAGCATTAACCAATGGGAAATTAAAATCCAAAAAAGTACCATTTATAATGCCTTATTATAATACAAAACACTTAGGGATGAATTAAATAACATGTGCCAGACCTGTGCATTCAAATCTACAAAGCATTACTGAGATAAATTTGAAAAGACCTTAATAATTAGACATACATATTCATGACTTCAAAGATTTAATATTACCAATGTATTGATGATCCACAGAGGCAATATAATTCCAAACAAAATCCCTGTGGGCTTTTATATAGAAATTCACAAGCTGACTCAAAATTTATATGAAAATGCCAAGGACCTGGGACAGCCAAAACATTTTTAAAAGGGAAGAAAAAATTGGAAGATTCATACTACCTGATTTGAACACTTTATAAGGTTATCATAATTAAAAGTATTTGTATATACACTGATGCATATGTGTTCAACTGTTTTCAACAATAGTGCAAAGGTAGCTTAATGGAGAAAAAATAGACTTTATAAAAAAATGCTGGGGGCTGGGGATGTGGCTCAAGCGGTAGCGTGCTCGCCTGGCATGCCTGCTTCCCAGGTTCGATCCTCAGCACCACATACAAACAAAGATGTTGTGTCCACCGAAAACTAAAAAATAAATATTAAAAAAATTCTCTCTCTCTCTCTCTCTTAAAAAATGCTGCTGGAATTGGGTGCAGTGGCACATGCCTGTCATGCCAGTTAATAGGAGGCTTGGTTAAGAGGTAGGAGGTTAGCTAGACAACTTAGCAAGAGACCTACCTTGCCTTTCTTTTTTTGAAACCAGGGATTGAACCCAGGGGCACTGTGCTACTGAGTCACATCCCCAGCCCATTTTTGTAATTTTTTTTTAACTTTGAGGCAGGATTTCACTAAGTTGCTGAGAGTCTTACTAAATTGCTGAGGTTGGCCTTGAATTTATAAGCCTCCTGCCTCAGCCTCCCAAGTCACTGGGATTATAGGCGTGCACCACCAAGCCTGGCTGAGACCCTATCTTAAAATAAACAGGTAAAAGGCTTGGGAGGTAGCTTAATGGTTAAACACTCCTGGGCTTAGTCCCCAGTACCATAAAAAAAAATACAAAACGAAACAAAGAAATGACCCTGCCACTGGAGAGCTGGGAATATACAGCTCAGTGGTAGAATGCTTGCCTAGCATGTGTGAGACCCTGGATTCCACACCCAGTAACATACACACACATGCATGTGCACATACACACAATGCTCCTGAAACAACTGGAAAAATTGGATATGTGTATGTAAAAAAAAAAAAAAACCTGATACCTCACACCAAATTTTAAAACTTATAGGCCTATGTGTAAGGGATAAAATTATAAATCATCTAAAAGAAAATATGAGAAACCTTTGGTACCTTGGATTGTAGATTTGTTAGATAGGATACAAAAAGCATGAAATATAAAAGAAGAACTTGGACTTAATCAATTTTAAAAACATCTATTCTTCAAAAGATACTATGAAGAATAAAACAAGTATAACTAAAAGATACAAATTTAAAAAGAATGAAACAAGTCCCAGCCTGCAAGTAGAAACTAGGACCATACATAGCTGATAAAGAACTTGCATCCAGAATATATAAAAAGAACAGATACAACATAAGATCAAAGAAAAATGGCAAACATTACAACAAACACTTTACTGAAGAAGATATACAGATGTCAAATAAGAACATGAAAAGATCCTCAACAACATTCATCATTTAATAAATGCAAATGAAAATCACAATACACCTACACCTCAATACACCTACTCAAAGACTAACAACATTAGTAATAGTGCTGGCAACAATGTAAAACACCTAGTACTCCAATCCATTGCTGGTGGGAAAATAAAATGGAAGGGCCATGTGGTAGTGTCTTATAAAGTATTCTACCTTGAAAGTAATATCCTCTCAAGTTTGTGGGGGGTTTGTGTGTGTGTGTGTGTTGTTGTTGTTATTTTTTCAGTACCAGGGATTGAATTCAGGGGCACTTGACCACTGAGCCACATCCAAAGCTCTATTTTGTATTTTATTTAGAGACAGGGTCTCTCTGAGTTGCTTAGTGCCTCTCCATTGCTGAGGCTGGCTTTGAACTTGTGATCCTACTGCCTCAGCCTCCCAAGCCACTGGGATAAGTTTGTGGGGTTTTTTAAAATTAAAACATAATATTAAAAAAAGAGTTGAGAGAAGGAAACTGATATTTGGTTGCATCAAGTCAAATATGTAAGAGTTGGAGAAGAAATTAAAAGAGAATATAGGTCAGGTGTGGTGGCACACACCTGTAATCCCAGCAACTCAGGATACTGAGGCAGGAGGATTGTAAGTTGGAGGCCAACCTCAGCAATTTAGCAAGGCCCTAAGCAACTTAGTGAGACCATGTCTCTAAATAAAAAATAAAAGATGGTTGGGGATGTGACTCTGTGGTGAAGCACCCCCGGTTCAATTTTTGGTGCCAAAAAGAAAACAGCAACCATATGAGAGTTTAGTGTTTGGCCTCAAAGTGTGGGTATCTGGCCTGGTACAGTTAAAGGCCACTAGCAACACTTTTTGTCCATACTGAGTCCAATAAGAAAGGCAGCATAATTTCCCTATAGCGAAAAAAAATTCCAGATTTCATACTGAAAGGGCCTACAGCATGCCCAATAGACAGGAAATTGGTGTTTCATGTACATCCATTCCAGTAAAAACACAAAAGCCCATGGAGGGGAAACAAAGTCTTAAAAGCTTCCAGAAAGGAGGGGGAAAGGGATGAGAATGGACTTTGCACTTCTCCCTAGCAAGCAGGAGGCTGGAAGAGAGGTGGGATCTCAGAACCAGAAAGACCACCCTCTGTGTGAATGCCAGGTGAAGAACACAAGAGACCACAAAAGGCCAACAAGGTAGGGGCCTCATTTGGATATCACCACAGCTCATTCTTCAGACCAGAGTCATGTCACAAGTCTGGGGGCTGAGAAGAGCTCCTAAGTGCAGCCCAGATTTTATTTTATTTTACAGATTTTATTGTAATAGGAATTTTCCTTATCTCTCAGAGTTTTGAAATCTGGTCTGTGGAAAAGGTCACAAAAGTCCCCCTTCAGGGTAACTTGGATTCCTCTTATCAACTTTATCTCAGGCCTGCATTTCTCCTACAGACTAACAGGTAGTTTGTTGAGGAATGTGACATATCCTACTTAAGCCAGGCAGGACTATAGCTAAATTGCTTCTTTGAAAAGAAAGCATGTGAGGGTCAGTACACTGGACCATTCTCTTAACCTTGTGTTCTGTTCCTACCATTTGCATCTGTCTGCCCCCTATCAAAAAGAACCTCTACAGGGATCTCAAGATTAAGAACTACAGCCACCTGGTGTCTCTGGGTGAGGGACTGCTGCACAGGGTGACATGGAATGCCCCCAGGAGTATCTCCTTCTCTAAGCTGCTGCAAGCTCAGTGGCATTGAAACCCTCAGTGAATTTGGGCAGGAGGCTCAGTGTCAACAATTCATAGTTCCATTAGGTCACTGGATAGGACATTTGTGCTCTCGCCTTCTAGGTGACTGCTCTGTACAGGGGCAGGTTGCTGCGTGCATGGGGTAGTCACCGGGGCTGCACCATCTTCAGCCTGAAGGGATGGACCTTAGTCTGGAATGCCCGCAGCATTAATGCCACAGTCTTATGTCATTTCCCCTGAACAGGGTATCTATTTGCCCAACCAGATATGATCTTCAGGTTGGGACAAAGAGAAAAGGCCTGGAGGGCAGATAGAAAGACTCTGATACAGAGCTGTCCAAGTGAGCAGAATCCAGGTGCGTCAGGCCAGGATAAGAAACCCAGTTATGTGTAAGAGCTGGGCTCCTGGACTGACTCTAATAGGATCTGACTTGATCACAGGAATTGAGGGTTGAAGGGGGGTCTTCACACTGCCTCAGTTTCCCAGAAGGCCTCAACCTTGTAACATTTGATGCCATCACTTGGTTATCATCGGCTATCATTGGTTATTGGTTATCCTCAGTTACCCCAATTCTTTGTTCAGCCTTTTCTGAAGCTCTCTTCTCCAAACTCTTGAGATAATTGATGGGTTTTTGTCCAAAGCACACTCTAGTAAAAGACCAAAGTTTTCTTGGTTGGAATTTGGATTTCATAGTCCCTAGGGAGCAACAAAATCATGGGACCTCACTCAAGGCTTCTAATTACCTAAGGTAAAGGGGTGACCTTCATTTCTGGGTCTGGGTGCCCTATTTAATGCTCTTTGCTTCCCATGCTCAAAATGACAGTTTTCCTTGCTCCTTAGCTTTCTGTCAGACCTCTATATCTCCGAGGCTTGCATCTGGAATGTAAGCTGCATGAGCAATTATACTAAAACCAGTTCAAGATCAGAAGAAAAATGTCGCTTTTAAATCCAAGCTGTTGTGGGACATAAATGACTGCTCTATCTGTTCTTGTACTCTGAGATTCTGCTGTCACAGTAAGTTCCTCCCTAAATGTTAGAGAACAGGAGAGATAAATGGAGGAGATCTGGAAAGGCTGGCTATGCCAGATCTTGGAATTTTTTT